TACCGGCATGGTCACTACGGGAATGGTCAGGACCAGAATTTATCCAAGTTCCAGGCCAATGAGTACCATCAGCCATCCATGTAGCTTTAGGAATCTTGACTGGCTCTATAATCTCTTCGTCTCTGTTCTCTCTCTGCACCTTCATGGCCTTAATCTCTTCCCGAGCATGATAAGCATCAGAACGGCGCCTGATCGAGTCAGGCAAACTGTTGATCCTAACCTTAAACTCATCATACTCACGCTTCACCCGTCTGCGATCCTTAACGAAATCAGCTTTCACCTTGTTCTTGTAAGGATCTCTTTTCAGACTAAAGTATGAATCCGGATTCCTCGGCTCGATAGTGTGTTTGCGACAGAAAAGAATCCATATATTTGCAAAACTCGCTGCTTCAGCCATGGCTTCAAATGTCAAAAGTGCTCCTCCATCGTCAGAAACATAGCAAGCAAGCTTTTCGACAGGGTAGTCAGCAGCGAGAATCGANAAAATGGTGTTGGAAGTGACAAGAGGAGGTTCTTTCTCCGGATCTGCTGTAGATACAAACATATCAAGTCCCGGCAGATCAGACTTCCCAGTCGGGTTGCTCGGTGTAGGCGTTTCAAATTTTTCTTTAAGAACATTGAGATCTGTAGCTCGGTTAATCGGGCACAGCTTTGGAAGCTGATCAAGAAGCCAAGATAAGGCGAACCAAAGCTCACAAACCACAGACATTCCCCATAGCCATATTGCATCTGGGTTTTGGTGCTTGATCCTCCACATCAAGAACAGCGCAAGAACAACAATTCGGATAAATATCAAAAGCCTGCACGAGAAAATCAAATGTGTCAGTGAAAACTTGAACAAATGGCGATATTTTGGACTAAGAACAAACTTTTCACCTGTAAGGACTAATAACAGCTGCAGGAATCGGCAGTTTTCGAGTAAGCGGTCTCCACGGTCTGCTCATCAGATCCTGCGGCCCCATACCTTGGCCATTCCCATCCTTCTCACTCCCAAAATTTCCGTCTTTTGTCCAGAAAGCATTTCCATAACCATAAGTCCCATTGGTCTCAAACAACCACCTGTTGTGATCAAAATCCCCGGTTTGACTCCTCATTAAACCCGCCTTAGTCGACTTCATCAATGACAATCTTCTCTCCATCTTCGAGCCACCCGATGGTGGCGGAAGCATAGGCCGCTGCTGCTTCTGCCTGTTGTTATCAGCCAAATCCGTCAAATCCGTGTTCCTGTAAGGCTCTTTACACCCAGGGCACATCCCACCATTGTTCACAGCATCCACAAAACAATCCCTACAAATTTTGAAATCACATTCACAAGGAAGAAGATCTTGTCCTCTCTCATCACTCATCACCTTCACATCACAACCAGGAATCGCGCAGGACGAGCCTTTCGCACCGGCCATTTGCGGATGGTTAGTCTCCGAGTCAATCACTTTGTCCATAAGATGAGCACGAGTCACGCTGTTAAAACCGCCAGTGAACAACGAACTAGACACGTACTGCTCCTCAACCTTCTGAGAGATGGAGGGATCCATGGGCTGGAAATCAGGAGTTTGCGGATGCTGAACCGAATAGCCAGTGAGATCCACACTTCCGAGTTCACTATCGAGATCATCTCTCGAGTAGTTGACATAACGCCCAGAGGAAGTCCTCCGGGCAAATGTCACAGAAGGCTGCTGGTGCGGGTGCCTCGCGGCTTCAGCAGCATCAGAGTTTGTTGATAGATTTGATCGACTGTTTGTGTAATGATTATTAGATGCCATTGTCTAATAATAGGAATATCCACCGGACTTTGTAGCCGGCAGATCCCTGAAAGAAAGCAAAAGTAATAATACTCAAATCTTCAAGTCATTGTTACATAAAAAGATCATGAATTAAAAGAAACAAACACATTAACTCGTAATAAACAGATCATCAATAGATCTAGCCTTCAACAACAACAAATCTCATCATAATTTCTCCATAAAGACGCCAAAAAGACAAAGATCATTGTTCCATAAACCCCACCAAAAGCAGACAAGCTTTAAATCTGAAGCTAAAGAGTAAAATCTAACTCAGTAGCTCAATTTCAAACTTACAAATCCAAAGACATCTCTAAATAGAACCCTTTTTCGACATAAAATCAAAATCACAAAACAATCGAACTGGATCCTTGAACATTCCGACAATGAAATTAAGGATGTTATGTTACCTGAGAGTCTGTAACAGAGGAAAGGTTAAGCTGTCTCAGATCTTCCGTAGATGATGGTGATTTGAGAAGAAGAAGAAGAAAACGCTTTGTCTTAAGGAATCAAATGTGGTCGTGTTGCCCAAACTGGTAATGGAGAATTG